AACTCACCAACTAACTCACCTACTCACTCACCTGCTAACTCACCTACTCACCTACTCAATCGCCTGTTAACTCACCAACTAACTCACCTACTCACTCACCTGCTAACTCACCTACTCACTCACCTGCTAACTCACCAATTGACTCACCTACTCACTCGCCTGCTAACTCACCTACTCACCTACTCACCTGCTAACTCACCAACTAACTCACCTACTCACTTGCCTAACTCACCAACTAACGCACCTACTCACCTGCTAACTCACCTACTCACCTACTCACTCACCTGCTAACTCACCAACTAACTCACCTACTCACTGGCCTGCTAACTCACCAACTCACCTACTCACTCGCCTACTAACTCACCTACTCACTCGCCTGCTAACTCACCTACTCACCTACTCACTCACCTCCTAACTCACCTACTCACCTACTCACTCGCCTAACTCACCAACTAACTCACCTACTCACCTGCTAACTCACCAACTAACTCACCTACTCACTCACTTGCTAACTCACCAACTAACTCACCTACTCACTCACCTGCTAACTCACCAACTAACTCACCTTCTCACTCACCTGCGAACTCACCTACTCACTCACCTGCTAACTCACCTACTCACTCACCTGCTAACTCACCAACTAACTCACCAACTCACTCACCTGCTAACTCACCAACTAACTCACCTGCTAACTCACCTACTCACCTACTCACTCACCTGCTAACTGACCAACTATCTCACCTACTCACTCGCCTAACTCACCAACTAACGCACCAACTCACCTACTCACCTGCTAACTCACCTATTCACCTACTCACTCACCTGCTAACTCACCAACTAACTCACCTACTCACTGGCCTGCTAACTCACCAACTCACCTACTCACTCGCCTGCTAACTCACCAACTAACTCACCTACTCACTTCCCTGCTAACTCACCTACTCACTCACCTCCTAACTCACCTACTCACTCACCTACTCACCTGCTAACTCACCAACTAACTCTCCTACTCACTCACTTGCTAACTCACCAACTAACTCACCTACTCACTCGCCTGCTAACTCATCAACTAACTCACCTACTCACTCACCTGCTAATTCACCTACTCACTCGCCTGCTAACTCACCAACTAACTCACCTACTCACTCACCTGCTAACTCACCAACTAACTCACCTACTCACTCACCTGCTAACTCACCTTCTAACTCACCTACTCACTCACCTGCTAACTCACCTACTCACTCACCTGCTAACTCATCAACTAACTCACCTACTCACTCGCCTGCTAACTCACCTACTCACTCACCTGCTAACTCACCAACTCACCTGCTAACTCACCAACTCACTCACCTGCTAACTCACCAACTAACTCACCTACTCACCTGCTAACTCACCAACTAACTCACCTACTCACTCACCTGCTAACTCACCCACTAACTCACCTACTCACTCACCTGCTAACTCACCCACTAACTCACTTACTCACTCACCTGCTAACTCACCTACTCACTCACCTGCTAACTCACCAACTAACTCACTTACTCACCCGCCTGTTCCGTAGCCTGGTTAGCGAGCGCCTAGTGCCGTCTAGGGGCCGCTACGCGAACTGCGAGCGAGGCCACACACCTTGGGGGGTCGATGGATTTTTATTTAAATTTTATTTAAATAGCAGCTGCCGAGTACGGGCCCAAAACGTCAAAGGGTCGGCAACAAACAGCACCCTCATTAAAGTTGTACTGGATAAGAGTGTACGAACGTGTCTGGGGGGGGGGGGGGGGGTGATGAGGAGTGTTGAGTCACCACGGCGGCGGTGATGGTGGTGATGGTGATGATGATAGTGATGATGATGGTGATGATGGTGATGGTAATGATGATGGTGATGGTGGTGATGGTGATGATGATGGTGATGATGGTGATGATGATGGTGATGATGGTGATGATGATGGTGATGATGGTGATGGTGATGATGGTGATGATGGTGATGATGATGGTGATGATGATGGTGATGATGATGATGGTGATGATGGTGATGATGATGGTGATGATGATGGTGATGATGGTGATGATGGTGATGATGGTGATGGTGATGATGGTGATGATGATGATGATGGTGGTGATGATGGTGATGATGATGATGGTGATGATGATGATGGTGATGATGATGGTGATGATGATGGTGATGATGGTGATGATGGTGATGGTGATGATGGTGATGATGATGGTGATGATGATGATGGTGATGATGGTGATGATGATGGTGATGATGATGATGGTGATGATGGTGATGATGATGATGGTGATGATGATGGTGATGATGATGGTGATGATGATGGTGATGATGGTGATGATGATGGTGATGATGATGGTGATGATGATGATGGTGATGATGATGGTGATGATGATGGTGGTGATGATGGTGATGATGATGGTGATGATGATGATGATGGTGATGCTGGTGATGGTGGTGATGGTGATGATGGTGATGATGATGGTGATGATGGTGATGATGATGGTGATGATGGTGATGATGGTGATGATGGTGATGGTGGTGATGGTGGTGATGATGGTGATGATGATGGTGATGATGATGGTGATGGTGATGATGATGATGGTGATGATGATGATGGTGATGATGATGGTGATGATGGTGATGGTGGTGATGGTGGTGATGATGATGGTGATGATGATGGTGATGATGGTGATGATGGTGATGGTGGTGATGGTGATGATGGTGATGGTGGTGATGGTGATGATGGTGGTGATGGTGATGATGGTGATGATGGTGATGGTGGTGATGGTGATGATGGTGATGATGGTGATGATGGTGATGATGATGGTGATGATGGTGATGATGGTGATGATGGTGATGATGATGATGGTGATGATGGCGATGATGATGATGATGGCGATGATGATGATGATGGTGATGATGGTGATGATGGCGATGATGATGATGGTGATGATGGTGATGATGAGAGAGCTTCACCGTGGAGCAGTGCGAGGGGAGTGGCGGAGAGAGGGAGGCGATCTGCTGGGTGGTGAGGGGAGTGTTGCACCATGCCACGATGCGGGGGGAGCGGGGGGGAGCATTGGGGCAGGGGGGGCAGGGGGGAGCAGGGGGGGGGGCCGCAGTGACCCAGCTCAAGTGGGTGCGGAAATCGGTCGGGGGGGGGCCCAAATATTTTATGTCTCTCGTGGTGGCTGTCAAAGCCCCCCCCCTCCCAACTGGTAGCTTTGCCACCAGATGGGAGGGGGCTCCGCCACCCCACAGTGAGGGGGGGCTGGGGGCTCCGCCACCCCACAGTGAGGGGGGGGGCTGGGGGCTCCGTGGGGCTGGCAGCTCAACTCTGCCCAAGCTGGCGGGTCGCGAGGGGCAGATCGCCCGCTGGAGGCGAGCTCCGCCAGGGGGTCCTCAACTCTGTCCCCCCATACCACGTGTCCCCCCATACCACGTGTCCCCCCATACCACGTGTCCCCCCATACCACGTTGTCCCACCCCACCGGCCTTTATCCTTCAAATCCTCCAAAAAGCCAATTACCTCCGTGACGGGTCATGTCGCTTCTCTCCCCCCGGACTGCTCATCTCCCATCATTGCCGTCTCTTCTCCCCCAACCAGCTCACTCAATTCTTCCTGGAGCACCACGCGTGTGCGAGGGGGCAACACTCGATCCCCGTACTGATGGGACGGGTGGCGCCTTCATCACTTTGCCGTTCGGCCTTGTCCTGGCGACCCGGGTACGGCTCCTCTTCGATGTCCACGCGATGTCACCCCATCTCTGTGTGATCCACCAACCTCACGCAGCTGCCTCCACACAGCGCTGGATCGCAGTCACTCACTGACGACACCTGCAGCAGCGTAGCCACCCGGCTAGAGATGACAGTGGAGGGGTGACGAGTTACCATGGAGACTGGTGTCGGGGTGTGATGTGGGGGGGGGGGGGGTGATGAGTTACCATGGAGACTGGTGTAGGGGTGTGATGAGTGGGGGGTGACGAGTTACCATGGAGACTGGTGTAGGGGTGTGATGAGTGGGGGGGGGTGTCGAGTTACCATGGAGACTGGTGTAGGGGTGTGATGAGTGGGGGGTGACGAGTTACCATGGAGACTGGTGTAGGGGTGTGATGAGTGGGGGGTGACGAGTTACCATGGAGACTGGTGTAGGGGAGTGATGAGTGGGGGGGGGGGGTGTCGAGTTACCATGGAGACTGGTGTAGGGGTGTGATGAGTGGGGGGGGGGGGGGTGTCGAGTTACCATGGAGACTGGTGTAGGGGTGTTATAAGTGGGGGGGGTGACGAGTTACCATGGAGACTGGTGTAGGGGTGTGATGAGTGGGGGGGGTGTCGAGTTACCATGGAGACTGGTGTAGGGGTGTGATGAGTGGGGGGGGGGGGGGTGACGAGTTACCATGGAGACTTGTGTAGGGGTGTGATGAGTGGGGGGTGACGAGTTACCATGAAGACTGGTGTAGGGGTGTGATGAGTGGGGGGTGACGAGTTACCATGGAGACTGGTGTAGGGGTGTGATGAGTGGGGGGGGGGGTGTCGAGTTACCATGGAGACTGGTGTAGGGGTGTGATGAGTGGGGGGGTGACGAGTTACCATGGAGACTGGTGTAGGGGTGTGACGAGTGGGGGGTGACGAGTTACCATGGAGACTGGTGTAGGGGTGTGACGAGTGGGGGGTGACGAGTTACCATGGAGACTGGTGTAGGGGTGTGATGAGTGGGGGGGGGGGTGTCGAGTTACCATGGAGACTGGTGTAGGGGTGTGATGAGTGGGGGGTGACGAGTTACCATGGAGACTGGTGTAGGGGTGTGATGAGTGGGGGGGGTGTCGAGTTACCATGGAGACTGGTGTAGGGGTGTGATGAGTGGGGGGTGACGAGTTACCATGGAGACTGGTGTAGGGTGTGATGAGTGGGGGGTGACGAGTTACCATGGAGACTGGTGTAGGGGAGTGATGAGTGGGGGGGGGGGGGTGTCGAGTTACCATGGAGACTGGTGTAGGGGTGTGATGAGTGGGGGGGGGGGGGTGTCGAGTTACCATGGAGACTGGTGTAGGGGTGTGATAAGTGGGGGGGGTGACGAGTTACCATGGAGACTGGTGTAGGGGTGTGATGAGTGGGGGGGGTGTCGAGTTACCATGGAGACTGGTGTAGGGGTGTGATGAGTGGGGGGGGGGGGGGTGACGAGTTACCATGGAGACTTGTGTAGGGGTGTGATGAGTGGGGGGTGACGAGTTACCATGAAGACTGGTGTAGGGGTGTGATGAGTGGGGGGTGACGAGTTACCATGGAGACTGGTGTAGGGGTGTGATGAGTGGGGGGGGGGGTGTCGAGTTACCATGGAGACTGGTGTAGGGGTGTGATGAGTGGGGGGGGTGACGAGTTACCATGGAGACTGGTGTAGGGGTGTGACGAGTGGGGGGTGACGAGTTACCATGGAGACTGGTGTAGGGGTGTGACGAGTGGGGGGTGACGAGTTACCATGGAGACTGGTGTAGGGGTGTGATGAGTGGGGGGGGGGTGATGAGTTACCATGGAGACTGGTGTAGGGGTGTGACGAGTGGGGGGTGACGAGTTACCATGGAGACTGGTGTAGGGGTGTGATGAGTGGGGGGGGGGGGTGATGAGTTACCATGGAGACTGGTGTAGGGGTGTGATGAGTGGGGGGGTGACGAGTTACCATGGAGACTGGTGTAGGGGTGTGATGAGTGGGGGGTGACGAGTTACCATGGAGACTGGTGTAGGGGTGTGACGAGTGGGGGGTGACGAGTTACCATGGAGACTGGTGTAGGGGAGTGATGAGTTGGGGGGGGGGGTTGAGTAACTGATTCACGAAGCCAGAGTGGGGGGCTCGCCCGGTTGGCTTTGTTGTGGGGGGCCATCCTCCTCCCCCCGCCACAGCTCCCCCTCCTCGTCCTCCTCCTCCTCGTCCTGCCCGGAGCCGCCCCCCTGCTGCTGCGGCACCGCGGGGAGCCCCGTGGGGGAGGCCGCGGGGGAGGGGGGCTCGGTGCCCCCCCCCAGCGCGCGTCCCCTGGAAGGCGCCCCGGGCACGGCCGAGCACGCGGCGCTGGAGCTCGGCGATGTCGTGGCGCAGGTCGGCCACGAGCAGCAGCAGGAAGTCGAACGAGCCCGGGGGGCCCTGCCGGGGGGGGGGGGGGTCAGGACGCATGGAGAGGGTCGGCTGAGTGCACACTCAGGGACATGAGTGGGTGGCGTGTGGGTGGCGAGTGGGTGTCTGGTGAGTGGCGTGTGGGTGGCGAGTGGGTGGCGTGTGGGTGGCGTGTGGGTGGCGAGTGGGTGGCGTGTGGGTGGCGTGTGGGTGGCGTGTGGGTGGCGAGTGGGTGTCTGGTGAGTGGCGTGTGGGTGGCGTGTGGGTGGCGAGTGGGTGTCTGGTGAGTGGCGTGTGGGTGGCGTGTGGGTGGCGAGTGGGTGGCGTGTGGGTGGCGTGTGGGTGGCGTGTGGGTGGCGAGTGGGTGTCTGGTGAGTGGCGTGTGGGTGGCGTGTGGGTGGCGAGTGGGTGGCGTGTGGGTGGCGTGTGGGTGGCGTGTGGGTGGCGAGTGGGTGGCGAGTGGGTGTCTGGTGAGTGGCGTGTGGGTGGCGTGTGGGTGGCGTGTGCTGTGCACGCGAGAGACTCACGGGGACTCCGGGAGGACCTGGCGACCCGCGCTCTCCCTACACGGGGGTCCGGAGGGGAAGGGGAGGTGGCATCAGATTATCCATTCTCACCCACCCACTACTCACCCACCCACCCCTCACCCACCCACTACTCACCCACCCACTACTCACCCACCCACTACTCACCCACCCACCCACTACTCACCCACCCACCGACTACTCACCCACCCACTACTCACCCACCCACAACTCACCCACCCACTACTCACCCACCCACTACTCACCCACCCACCCCTCACCCACCCACTCACACCATACAACCACAACTCACCCACCCACTACTCACCCACTCACTACTCACCCACCCACTACTCACCCACCCACCCACTACTCACCCACCCACTACTCACCCACCCACTACTCACCCACCCACTACTCACCCACCCACCCACTACTCACCCACCCACTCACACCATACAACCACTACTCACCCACCCACTACTCACCCACCCACTACTCACCCACCCACTACTCACTCACCCACCCACTACTCACCCACCCACTACTCACCCACCCACTACTCACCCGTGCACTCACTCCACTCACTCACTACTCACCCACTAACTCACCCACCCACTACTCACCCACCCACTACTCACCATACTGCCGGTCACATCACTTCTCTCTCCCCTCACTGCTGCACTCTGGAACTCCCTCCTCCCTCGGCCATATCTCTCTCTCCGCCAAAGCCCTTCATTCACTAACATTTACCGCGCTCACTTCGCGTCAATTAATTCTGACAGTGCTGTTTGTTGCTGGCCGCTTGGACTGTGTGGTGCATTTGCTCAATAACTGTGCGAGAGAAAAAAAGATCTCACCCGAAGGTTGACGGAGTAACAAAATGATAACGCGGACAAGCGCCTCGGTACCTCACCGTAAAATGTAAAATTTCAACGCATCCCATCAGCCACTACGGCCTTCTGCGAGTGCATTCTGCTCAGCCGCTTTGGTTCAGCGCGAGCGAAACTCCGTGACGGATTCCACGTTTCAGTGTCTCATGAGCAGCAGTCGGGCCCTGCGCGATGTTTGTAGGCACGGCCCCTCTCTCTCTGTTGGGCGTGGGTCCTCAGCTCCACGCAAACCAACTCCCCGCGCAGTGTTTGTTTGTGTCAGGTGGTGGAGGGTTAGACGACACACACTGGGCCAGATCATAACGCGGCCTAACCCAAAACATCAACAATGAATCATAGTCATGTATAAAGAGAGTTCACGCGTGGAGAGTTCACGTGTAGAGAGAGTTCACGCGTGGAGAGTTCACGTGTAGAGAGAGTTCACGTGCACAGAGAGTTCACGTGTGGAGAGAGTTCGCGTGTGGAGAGAGTTCGCGTGTGGAGAGAGTTCACGTGTGGAGAGAGTTCACGTGCACAGAGAGTTCACGCGTGGAGATTTCACGTGTAGAGAGAGTTCACGTGTAAAGATTTCACGTATGGAGAGAGTTCACGCATGGAGTTCACGTGTAGAGAGATTTCACGTGGAGAGAGTTCACGTGTAGAGAGAGTTCACGCGTAGAGAATTCACGTGTAGAGAGAGTTCACGCGTGGAGAGTTCACGTGTAGAGAGAGTTCACACGCAGAGAGATTTCACGTGCAGAGAGATTTCACGTGCAGAAAGATTTCACGTGCAGAGAGAGTTCACGCGTAGAGAGTTCACGTGTAGAGAGAGTTCACGCGTGGAGAGTTCACGTGCAGAGAGATTTCATGTGCAGAGAGATTTCACGTGCAGAAAGAGTTCACGTGCATAGAGAGTTCACGCGTGGAGAGTTCACGTGCAGAGAGAGTTCACGCGTGGAGATTTCACGTGCAGAGAGAGTTCACGCGTAGAGATTTCACGTGCAGAAAGAGTTCACGTGCATAGACTCCTCACCTTGAGGCCTTGCATACCTGGAGGTCCAGTGTGACCCTGCACACACACAAAGACAAAGATCCCCTGTATAGCCTTGACAGACTGTTGGGGCAAGTGCTGTTAGCGAGCGCCTATGAAGGCCGGCACGGCACACGAGGGGGTGGGTGGCCAGCACCACGCCGGGCCGCCTTTATCTCCCCAGTGGCGATGTTTGCACACCGCACCAGGTACTCATTTGAGGCTGAGTCGACCTAGGGGAGGCCCAGGACCGGTTCAGATAATCGCCACTGGTGTTGGCCGTGAGCGGGAATCGAACCCGGGTTACAAGGTTCGTAGCGTAGCGCGCTAACCGCTACACTACCGCTCCCCATAACACACACAGCCAGACACACACACACAGACACAGACACACACAGACACACACACACACACAGACACACACACACAGACACACACACACAGACACACACAGCCAGACACACACACACAGACACACACACACACACAGACACACACACACACAGACACACACACACAGACACACACACACAGACACACAGACACACACACACAGACACACACAGTTCACGGACTCGGTGCGCTGGACCCGCGCGTCGCTCACCATCGGCCCCCTCCGGCCTCGTTTGACGTGCGACAGATCGGGATCCTGCCCTGGCGGCCCCATGAAGCCGCGGGGCCCAGGGGGGCCCTCAGCGCCCGGGGGTCCTGTGGGAATGGGGGGAGGTGAGGGGGGGGTGTCGCGGGCTTCACTTGATCACGGTCACCCTCGTCATCACCATATTCGTGGTATATCTGCCACCGGCTTCACGCACGAGACGCGGTTTACTGAACGCGCACGGATCTCTGCACACCGAGTCGAGCGGGAGAGCGCAGAGCGGCAGCAGCTGTCGCCTGCTCCTGGCCGACTCGCGCCACACAGAGGCAGCAGCGGCAGCGGCCACTGGGGGATGGCCGCTTTCAAGCCGTGCTGAGACGATGAGACGCGAGACACCTGGTGAGGAGGAAGAGGAGGAAGAGGAGGGCTCTATCGGAGCGCGTGGGATTTTATTCATTTCTGCTGCTCCGGTTTCGTCCTACTCAGAATAAGTATTCCTTAATTGGCTGAAAACATCTTAAGGTAAAAACACAATGCAGGGCCGTCCTGAAAACATATGCCTATGACTTGCCTGGACAAAAAGGTGAAGAGGTAAAGATGTCACAAGCACTTCGGGGTGGTGCTCTTGTCCTATTTACAGTCCTGCAGAGCCAGTTGTGGGGAATTCCAGATTCCTACGGCAGGCGGGGGCCAAGTCTTTCCATGTGACAACCAACTGTCGGCTTTCCCAAAAAGTGGTTCTCATTTTATCGACTCCGTAAGGAAGGGATGATGATGAGGATGATTCTGGGTGGATACAACCCCCACCCCAACCAGGACTCGAGCACTTTCCGATTGTCGCTCGCCCCGGGGGCGAGTCGCCGCCTGTCCGAGCAGACGGCGCGGCTGCTGATGCTGCTGCTGCCCGCACACAGCCCGAGACGGGGGCCGCAGCGGCAGCCCCAGGGGCACCACCGCGGCACGGCCACCCGGGGCTGGTGCGGCCCTCGGTGTGTGCGAGTCTTTGTGTGTCGGAGGTTGCATCAGCCTCATATGAGTAGCCGGTGTGGTGTGTAAACATCACCACTGGGGAGACAAAGGTGGCCAGGGGTGGTGCTGGCCACCCACCCCCCTCGTGTGTCGTGCCGGCCTTCATAGGTGCTCGCTAACAGCGCTTGCCCCAACAGTCTCTTAAGGCTCTACGGGGGAATTTGTGTATTTGTCTTATGAGTGAGGTATGAAAGTGAGAGGTTATGTGGCTTTCATCCAGCAGTGGACTGGACCTGGCTGCGATGGGGAGTGGCAGCCAGACGGTGGAACATGTCCGAGAGGACGTCCAAGGAGATGGAGCAATGAAATCATCTGGTGTGGCGACGAGATGACGGCTGGGGGAGGCCTTCATCCAGCAGTGGATAGGCCATGAATGACGCATCATAAGTGGACTGAAAACCCAGCGTCAGCGCAATCGTACCGACTCCTCCCAGTCCCCCTTCCTCGCCGGGCAGACCGGGGGGCCCCACGGGCCCCAGCGGCCCGGGGGGCCCCAAGGGCCCGGGCGGACCGGGGGGTCCCAAGGGCCCGGGTGGACCCGGGGGCCCGATCTGTCCCGGGGGCTTCTCGTGCGCCCGCTGTCCGCTCTTCGCCATGATGTCATTTCCTGTGGAGCGCACCTGCAACCACAAACACCACCACCACCACCACGACACCTGCCATGACCACGTGCGTAGACCCTCTACACCTGAGTCGTGCGTCTCGCGTCGCCAGGTGAGATCTCTAGACAGCAGGGTGAGTGTCTCATTCGTGTGGCCTCGTGAGAACCCACGACAGAGCAGGGTGAGTGTCTCATTCGTGTGGCCTCGTGAGAACCCACGACAGAGCAGGGTGAGTGGCTCATTCGTGTGGCCTCGTGAGAACCCAAGACAACAGCAGGGTGAGTGTCTCATTCGTGTGGCCCCGTGAGAACCCAAGACAACAGCAGGGTGAGTGTCTCATTCGTGTGGCCTCGTGGCAAGCCACGACAGAGCAGGGTGAGTGTCTCATTCGTGTGGCCCCGTAAGAACCCACGACAGAGCAGGGTGAGTGTCTCATTCGTGTGGCCTCGTGAGAACCCACGACAGAGCAGGGTGAGTGGCTCATTCGTGTGGCCTCGTTGAACCCACGACAGAGCAGGGTGAGTGTCTCATTCGTGTGGCCCCGTGAGAACCCACGACAGAGCAGGGTGAGTGTCTCATTCGTGTGGCCCCGTGAGAACCCATGACAGAGCAGGGTGAGTGTCTCATTCGTGTGGCCCCGTGAGAACCCACGACAGAGCAGGGTGAGTGTCTCATTCGTGTGGCCCCGTGAGAACCCACGACAACAGCAGGGTGAGTGTCTCATTCGTGTGGCTCAGTGAGAACCCACGACAACAGCAGGGTGAGTGTCTCATTCGTGTGGCCTCGTGAGAACCCACGACAACAGCAGGGTGAGTGTCTCATTCGTGTGGCCTCGTGAGAACCCAAGACAGAGCAGGGTGAGTGTCTCATTCGTGTGGCCCCGTGAGAACCCACGACAACAGCAGGGTGAGTGTCTCATTCGTGTGGCTCAGTGAGAACCCACGACAACAGCAGGGTGAGTGTCTCACATTTGAAAGAGCGACCTGGGTCACAAAAACGACTAAAAAAGCGCTAAGCGTAACAACATTGCACACCAATGGAGCAAACAGAAATCGGCGCAGGGCTCAGCCAAATGGAGATCAAAGCAGAGTCAATGAAATAGAAAGAACACCAAAAGCAACCGCGTATCAGAAGAAATGTAATCAATAAAAGGACACCCGGGGTTCACGGCGCATGTTTCTGTGGTGTGTGATGATGAACAGAGTTCCTTGAAAAGAGACCGACGCAGACGCCTGACCTGGAGTGAGTGGAAGGCATGGGCGAGATCAGCTCAACAACAACGGTGGGAGGCGGGGGGTGAGTTGGGTGAGTGGGGGTGAGTGGGGTGAGTGGGGTGAGTAGGGGTCAGTGGGGGTGAGTGGGGTGAGTGGAGTGAGTGGGGATGAGTGGGGGTGAGTGGGGTGAGTGGGGTGAGTGGGGGTGAGTGGGATGAGTGGGGGTGAGTGGGGGTCAGTGGGGGTGAGTGGGGGTGAGTGGGGTGAGTGGGGTGAGTGGGGGTGAGTGGGGTGAGTGGGGCGAGTGGGGGTGAGTGGGGTGAGTGGGGTGAGTGGGGGTGAGTGGGGTGAGTGGGGTGAGTGGGGGTGAATGGGCTGACTGGGGTGAGTGGGGGTGAGTGGGGGGAGTGGGGTGAGTGGGAGTGAGTGGGGTGAGTGGGGTGAGTGGGGGTGAGTGGGGGAGTGGGGTGAGTGGGAGTGAGTGGGGTGAGTGGGGGTGAGTGGGGGTCAGTGGGGGTGAGTGGGGTGAGTGGGGGTGAGTGGGGGTCAGTGGGGTCAGTGGGGGTGAGTGGGGTGAGTGGGGTGAGTGGGGGTGAGTGGGGTGAGTGGGGTGAGTGGGGGTGAGTGGGGTGAGTGGGGGTGAGTGGGGGTGAGTGGGGGTCAGTGGGGGTGAGTGGGGTGAGTGGGGGTGAGTGGGGGTCTGTGGGGTCAGTGGGGGTGAGTGGGGTGAGTGGGGTGAGTGGGGGTGAGTGGGGTGAGTGGGGTGAGTGGGGGTGAGTGGGGTGAGTGGGGGTGAGTGGGGTGAGTGGGGTGAGTGGGGGTGAGTGGGGTGAGTGGGGGTTCAGTGGGGGTGAGTGGGGTGAGTGGGGTGAATGGGGGTGAGTGGGAGTCAATGGGGTCAGTGGGGTGAGTGGGGTGAGTGGGGGTGAGTGGGGTGAGTGGGGTGAGTGGGGTGAGTAGGGCGAGTGGGGGCGAGTGGGGTGAGTGGGGTGAGTGGGGGTGAGTGGGGTGAGTGGGGTGAGTGGGGGTGAGTGGGCTGAGTGGGGTGAGTGGGGTGAGTGGGGGTGAGTGGGGTGAGTGGGGTGAGTGGGGGTTCAGTGGGGGTGAGTGGGGGTGAGTGGGGGTGAGTGGGGTGAGTGGGGGTGAGTGGGGTGAGTGGGGTGAGTGGGGGTGAGTTGGAGTCAATGGGGTCAGTGGGGTGAGTGGGGGTGAGTGGGGGTGAGTGGGGTGAGTGGGGTGAGTGGGGGTGAGTGGGGTGAGTGGGAGTGAGTGGGGTGAGTGGGGGTGAGTGGGGTGAGTGGGGTGAGTGGGGGTGAGTGGGGGTGAGTGGGGTGAGTGGGGTGAGTGGGGGTGAGCGGGGGTGAGCGGGGGTGAGCGGTGGTGAGCGGGGGTGAGTGGAGTGAGTGGGGGTGTGTGGGGTGAGTGGGGGTGAGTGGGGTGAGTGGGGGTGAGTGGGGGTGAGTGGGGTGAGTGGGGTGAGTGGGGGTGAGTGGGGTGAGTGGGGGTGAGTGGGGTGAGTGGCGTGAGTGGGGGTGAGTGGGGTGAGTGGGGTGAGTGGGGTGAGTGGGGGTGAGTGGGGTGAGTGGGGGTGAGTGGGGTGAGTGGGGTGAGTGGGGGTGAGTGGGGTGAGTGGGGTGAGTGGGGGGTGAGTGGGGGTGAGTGGGGTGATTGGGGTGAGTGGGGTGAGTGGGGGTGAGTGGGGGTGAGTGGGGTGAGTGGGGTGAGTGGGGTGAGTGGGGGTGAGTGGGGTGAGTGGGGGTGAGTGGGGTGAGTGGGGTGAGTGGGGGTGAGTGGGGTGAGTGGGGTGAGTGGGGGGTGAGTGGGGGTGAGTGGGGGTGAGTGGGGTGAGTGGGGTGAGTGGGGGTGAGTGGGGTGAGTGGGGGTGAGTGGGGTGAGTGGGGTGAGTGGGGGTGAGTGGGGTGAGTAGGGGTGAGTGGGGGTGAGTGGGGGTGAGTGGGGGTGAGTGTGGTCATTGGGGGAGAGTGGGGTGAGTGGGGTGAGTGGGGTGAATGGGGTGAGTGGGGGTGAGTGGGGTGAGTGGGGTGAGTGAGGGTGAGTGGGGTGAGTGGGGTGAGTGAGGGTGAGTGGGGTGATTGGGGTGAGTGGGGTGAGTGGGGGTGAGTGGGGTGAGTGGGGTGAGTGAGGTGAGTGGGGTGAGTGGGGTGAGTGGGGTGAGTGAGGGTGAGTGGGGTGAGTGGGGTGAGTGAGGGTGAGTGGGGTGATTGGGGTGAGTGGGGTGAGTGGGGGTGAGTCGGGGTGAGTGGGGGTGAGTGGGGTGAGTGGGGTGTGAGTGGGGTGAGTGGGGTGAGTGGGGGTGAGTGGGGTGAGTGGGGTGAGTGGGGTGAGTGGGGGTGAGTGGGGTGAGTGGGGTGAGTGAGGGTGAGTGGGGTGAGTGGGGTGAGTGGGGTGAGTGAGGGTGAGTGGGGTGATTGGGGTGAGTGGGGTGAGTGGGGGTGAGTGGGGGTGAGTGGGGTGAGTGGGGGTGAGTGGGGTGAGTGGGGGTGAGTGGGGGTGATTGGGGGTGAGTGGGGTGAGTGGGGTGAGTGAGGGCGAGTGGGGGTGATTGGGGGTGAGTGGGGTGAGTGGGGTGAGTGAGGGTGAGTGGGGTGAGTGGGGTGAGTGGGGGTGAGTGGGGTGTGTGGGGGTGAGTGGGGTGAGTGGGGTGAGTGGGGGTGAGTGGGGTGAGTGGGGTGAGTGGGGTGAGTGAGGGTGAGTTGGGTGAGTGGGGTGAGTGAGGGTGAGTGGGGTGAGTGGGGTGAGTGGGGGTTCAGTGGGGGTGAGTGGGGGTGAGTGGGGTGAGTGGGGGTGAGTGGGTTGAGTGGGGTGATTGGGGGTGAGTGGGGTGAGTGGGGGTGATTGGGGTGAGTGGGGGTGAGTGGGGTGAGTGGGGTGAGTGGGGGTGAGTGGGGTGAGTGGGGTGAGTGGGGTGAGTGAGGGTGAGTGGGGTGAGTGGGGTGAGTGAGGGTGAGTGGGGTGAGTGGGGTGAGTGGGGGTTCAGTGGGGGTGAGTGGGGGTGAGTGGGGTGAGTGGGGGTTCAGTGAGGGTGAGTGGGGGTGAGTGGGGTGAGTGGGGGTGAGTGGGAGTCAATGGGGTCAGTGGGGTGAGTGGGGGTGAGTGGGGTGAGTGGGGTGAGTGGGGTGAGTGGGGGTGAGTGGGGTGAGTGGGGGTGAGTGGGGTGATTGGGGATAAGTGGGGTGAGTGGGGTGAGTGGGGGTGAGCGGGGGTGAGCGGGGGTGAGCGGGGGTGAGCGGGGGTTAGTGGGGGTGAGTGGGGGTGAGTGGGGTGAGTGGGGTGAGTGGGGGTGAGTGGGGTGAGTGGCGTGAGTGGGGGTGAGTGGGGTGAGTGGGGCGATTGGGGTGAGTCGGGTGAGTGGGGGTGAGTGGGGTGAGTGGGGTGAGTGAGGTGAGTGTGGTGAGTGGGGTGAGTGGGGTGAGTGAGGGTGAGTGGGGGTGAGTGGGGGTGAGTGGGGTGAGTGGGGTGAGTGGGGTGAGTGGGGTCAGTGGGGTGAGTGGGGGTGAGTGGGGTGAGTGGGGTGAGTGGGGGTGAGTGGGGTGAGTGGGGTGAGTGGGGTGAGTGGGGTGAGTGGGGTGAGTGGGGGTGAGTGGGGGTGAGTGGGGGTGAGTGGGGTGAGTGGGGTGAGTGAGGGTGAGTGGGGTGAGTGGGGTGAGTGGGGTGAGTGAGGGTGAGTGGGGTGATTGGGGTGAGTGGGGTGAGTGGGGGTGAGTGGGTTGAGTGGGTTGAGTGGGGTGAGTGGGGGTGAGTGGGGTGAGTGGGGGTGAGTGGGGTGAGTGGGGGTGAGTGGGG